CTGAAGTTAGTGGAATAAATCCACTTTATATTGTGGCGGCCCAGATGTGATATTATAGCTGTTTCGAAGAAAGCACCCTTTTGGAGTTTGTTGGCCTTGAATCTTCCTCTCATTTTTAAGCTGTATAGGCATTAACTTCCAATCGCATTATGTTCATGGTAGCACAGCAAGCCGTTGTCTGTAGCCCACCTCAGCTGGATGCAGAGGGATCAACAAAAGGTGCAATGCCAGATTCAACCATAAGTATCTCGACTTTTTTTTCTGTTTAAAAACTTTTTATCACTGAGAGTGCAAGCGGGAAAAGTTCATTACTGATGTCCGATGAGCTTTTTTACATGCTCTTATCTATGAGAACAAACCTTGGTCTGTTCATACTGCAAATCCAAGGGAGATGTCTGGGAGGCAGAGGGACTGCTCCTTTTTAAAAATTAGTTATTTTTGCTCATTCTGCTTTTCAGAAGGGGGCAAGGAGGGAGGGAGGGACCTGGGGAGACCTGGCACATAGGAGAGCGGCAGCAGGGGCAGTAGGGAGCGTGCTTGATGTATGGGATGGATCCATCACCACGATCAGGGTGACAGAAAGAGGCGGTCTATTATTAGAGACCCTGAGGGGCTATGTAGAGTTGCTGCGATTGTGGAAGGTATTTGAAGTCACTGGGAGAGCAAGGTGAGAAGAAAGGATCTCCCCGACCCTTGCACATGTTGGGCAGGGGAGGATTTGTTTTCAGACCTTTTATTTTAATGTCTCACCCGAGTTTCTTCTATTTTAAAGAATTTTCTTGCTCATTATTTGTGAAATGGTGTGCTGATAAATCTTAGTTTGGAGAATGGGAACGTTTTGCTTTCTTTTGGGTCCTTACTGTAAAGATAAAGTGGTCAGTCCTATCTCTAAGCAGTAGTGGATTTAGGGTGTCACTGCAGTGGGTTAGACCGCATGTCTCTCTAGCCTGGTATCCATCTGACAGTGGCACGTACTATATGTGTGACAACCAGGCAGTAGCGATCCTTTCCCTGATGCATCCTCACTATTTCCAGGAGCCATCTCTTTTTGCTGCTGGCCTCCTGTTGCACCTGCGGGTCCACTCAGCACAACTTCTGTTTCCTTGTTAACCAGCAGAAAGTAGGTGTGAAGCCTTTTAGTCTTCTGTTCTTCCCATTTTAAGACATTAAGCTGGTACTTTATACTCTTTGGGTTGTACTCTTTGCTCTTTTTTACACAGTATTTAGGAAAAACTGCTTATTTTAGTAATAAAGGTCAGCTTTAATCTTTGATAGTAACGCTGCTTCTATAGTTGTGATCGTCTGCCAGTGAGGCGGGACTGTTTGGGAGACTTGGTGTCTTTTTTTAGATTGGCCTGATAGATTTGGAAAATAGAGAAAAGACTGAAGCCATATCCTGGGCATCTTTTCAGAGTAAAAAGGATGTGCTGCAGGCCCCGTCCATGTAGATCCCTGTGTCTGATGGTCTAGATAAGCACTTTCTGTGAAACAGGAGGCAAATTGTAGGACCCAAATGAAGACTGAGTCTTGCACTGAAGTTGGACATCCCTCAGCTTGGATGCATGAAAGGCTTGCATGCCTGAAACCTTGTCTTCTGTCATCCCCCACTGTGTATCAGTTTGTCTTACAAAAGTATTACTAACTTCTATATTAATCCTGCCCTACACTTTGATTCTTACTGTCTTTTGCTTCTTTTTACAGCAACTGTGACCAAGGTTGAAGAGTTTTTTTAAGCTTACATAAATTTTGTCCTGTGCAAACTATTGACAGCTATTATTGAAGAAATTCCGGTGGTGCAGCTGTAAGGTTGCAGCAGTAGATAAGTCATATATATACATGGTCCTTTTATTAGAGGGGACTGTTGGAGCTGTGGTAATGCTTAAAGTATTTGAGGCCTAATCCACTGCTTCATTGCTCCAGATGTGATAAATGCTGTTGACTTAATGCAGCAATTGGTGACATAAAACGGAGAAATTGCCTCTGTGCTTATTATGTAGCTCTGGTGGTGAATCTCCTGTTAACAACTCTAGTTTTTGGGGGCTTTCTCATTTTATTAGGGAGGGGGTCATGTATGAAGCCTGAGAAGAAATGAGTAGGAATGGCTTGTATTTGTACTCCAACCGAATTCATGAACACTTATGCAAAACTCTGCATAAGCATAAGCAGGCTATGGATACTGGTTGTTTTTGCTGGAGTGTGTTTGCAGTGGGCCTGCAAAATGAAGTCATCATTGAAGATCTTGGGATGCAAAAGATTCTTCAGAAGTTTCAGCCTTGCTGGGGACAGAACAGATGCAGAATATCCCATCCCAAATAATCGTATCTCATTCATTTGCGACCCCACTCCTTCTCTGCCCCCTCCAAGGAGCCAGGTTGTCGTGGAAATTACAATTATTTATATAGACAATTTCTTGAAAAAAAAAAAATAGTTTTGGAGCTCTAGGCTATGAGTATACATGTTAGTATTTTTGGCTTTAGCTTCTAGAATATGAGCTAGAGACTTTCTTAAGCCACCATTGAGATTCTCACCTGAGCACCTGACCTAACACTTTTCTCAACAGCTGAGAACTGGAGAAAAACACTGAATATGCTGACATTTGTTGCTACTGTTCTGAGTGAAAATTGTGTTTACTTGGGAAAGACTGTTGTCCTGTTATTTCTGCATACCAGTTACTTCAGATCCAAAAAGAAATGCTGAAAAATTCTTACGCACGAGGAGAGTTTATTTCCATGACTGTCACTAGGGTTACATTTCCTTTGGTCCAAGGTGTATGTGACACACTCAGATGGAAGTAGGATGGTGCAGTTACCAAAATAGATGCATTGTGTTAATTTCTTAATTAATTTTTTTTGGTGCAGTGCTTTTAAAGTAACAAGTATTGTCAGCAGTAAGCTATTTTTAAACCAAGGACATTTTGTGCTGAAATTGGCTATTGCAACACTGGGTTAGAATTAGAATACACAAAATTCAAAACCACAGTAACCCTAATTTTGCCATTCTTGCCTTTTTAACTGCTCAACAATAGTGTTGTGTTTGTATAGCATTTAAAAATATTTGTTAAGGGGAATGTAAAGAGCTACTGGCAGGCTTCTCTGTTAACTGTTTGTGCATGCTCAGCCCCTCTTCTCAGAAATGAGCTGTAATGAAAACTCAGGGGCGACTACTCCAGGTGTCCGCAGCTCAGACTCTCCTTTGTGTTGCGACCAAAGGAGCAGCCGAAGCCCCAGCCAGGATAGGGGCAGAGGCCTGCATGGTGGAGTGGACAGTCCCTTTGGCTCAGAGGACGTGCACCCATGATGGGCTAAAACCTCTGTTTGCCATCTCCTTTCCCAGCTCGTGCTGGTACATGCAGGCCTGGATCTGTGGCCTCCAAGGAGCTGCTCCGGCAAATGAGTAATAATGTTCAGGATAATATAGTCTGACCATGAGGATGAATTTGATATGGCTGTAGTTCTTGTCATGACCCTACAATCCCTGGTTTTGCCTGGCTTGGTCCTAATGTTCCGGCCAGCACTGGGGAGAGGTTATGGGAGGCCAGTACCACTCAGGCCTCCTCACTTTCAACCTGCCCCAGCTCTGAGCTGCCTGATTTTCCCTGCAAGGGCTTTATGAAGTTGGGACATGCACACGTCCATCTTTGGATGGAAATTAGCTTTGGATTTCACATGTCACCGATCAGACTGACCTGAACGAATTCATGTGGGAAAAAAAAAAATAATTGGAAAGCAGCTTGAGAAATGATTTCTCCTTTTTGCTGTTGCCTTGCATTTTGGCATGCGCTGCCTGCATTTTGAATACGAGGTCATCTGATGCGTTGTAACGCGATAGCAATACAGACTGGGCAATCCTGGGAACTGGCAGCTTGGATTTTGCCTGTCCAAATTTTGTTGTTCTAAAACTTGACTTCTTTGTTAAAAATGAACAGTTTCCAGGGGGTAAAAAGCCCCCAGAGAAGAACTGTTGGCATTTTATATTTTTAAGCTGTCTTTCTGAATGAAAACAGTTGATTATTAACTTGATGGGGTGACAATAAGTATATAGAACTTAAATATCTCACCACTCCCACGAAGAAAAAAAAAAACCCACCCTCCATTGTATCATGGGAAGATACATAGCCAGAAAAACTTTCCAACTCATTAAACTTTTATACTTGCTTCATACAAGCTTAATGTAGGCTTTTTTCCATCCTGTGATGTTGTAGGGACGCAGCTGAGGAGGACACCATCAACTTAACAGTATTTCTTACTGAATGTGCCTTTCTTATAACAGAAAAAGCTAAATTACTTAATCTGAAGGATTAAAAAAAGGTTTCCTTGTTTGTGCGTTTCAGGTTGTTTATTCTGCCAAGCCTGATAACGAAATCAGTCTGAATGTCTCCCCTGTAATCAGTTTAGTCAGCTTCTGTGATTGTGCGGGGTATTCGGACAAGGACGAGGATAAAGGAAGAGAATTTTAAAAAACAGGAAAATACTATTGTAAACATATCGGGCAAGTTATAAACTGGGAAAGGGTACTCGGAGTCAAGTGTTGTACCTGCAGCTACTTTTGATGCTCTGTGGTAGATGTTTTGGTGGGTTTTTCTTCCTCTTGTGGCTTGTGTTTGACTTTTTAGAAGAGGGGTAGGGGAAAATACTGATTTAAAGGACTAGAGTCTGGCTATATTGCTTTTAAACAGCATATTTCGTAGTGGAGGCGGGTGGAGGTAAGGCCGCTGTAGCTAGCTTGAGGTCGGAAAGGAACAACAAAAAGTGATGTTTGGGCTGATTTTGAGCCCTGTGCTGGGTGGGACGGCTCTGCGCTCTCCCTCGTGCTCTTGGAGAGGCCACGTTGCATCTTGACTTTGGGCTGTAACTGGCAGGAAGCATCAAATATTCCCTTTATTCCCTTTGCTGTTTCCTTCTGGTGTAATTTTAGTTTTCTGGCACCCTGGTGGGGTTCTGCTGCTCATCCTGGTTGTGTCCTTCCCCTTGATCTTCCTGATCCTCCTTTATTGTCCTCAGCTGTGAGCCCAGGGGAAAACTGCCTCGCTGCATTCGCCTGCAGGTCAGCTTGTCCCCGCGACAGTGCGGGAGCGGACATGGGTTTCGGCTGGTCATTGCACCCGTGAGCAAGGACTTTGCACATTCTAAATCGAGAATTGTTGCTTCATATGCGCGCCTCTCCAAACCTGTGGATTTAGACATTCCCTCACCATTAATTACATCCTCTTGTCTTGTAGCAGCAAGTAAAAAGGCCAAGTTGGGCACGTCGTTCTGCTGCAAGCAGCCAAACACAATTTCTGTTGTTTGGATGCTTGCGAGTTTCAGAAAGTATGTGGCCACTCTGTTTTGGGAAGTGCATCCTGCGGTGCTTGCGTTGGGGTGGGGAGTAGCCAGGCAGCTCAGACCCCTTCTCAGAGGGCGTACACACGAGTCATGCCAACCAGTCCAGCATTGCCAGAGTCATTCCCAATTAAAAGCAGGAGTGCGTGCTTCTAAGGGAAGCCCAGTTTGCCGATAACTGATGGCCAGCGAGGTAATTCCTAGGTGGCACTGCAAGTGAGAGGTACTATGGTTTGCCTTGGTGCAATCTCTGATGGAGATGCTGGGTGTTACCATCTCCTTTCTGGAAGCCGTAGGGTCCAGTCACCCACATTTGTCAGTCATTTGGCATCTAAACCGCTCAGACAGATGCAATGTGAGACTGCCAAAATTGGCAGCAGCATCTGACTCTGACAGCGGTTTGTGAGTTTGCCTGGTCGCCCCGTGGCAGCTCTTAATGCAGCACCTCCAAGTGCGGTGTCCCACAAAATGCTCGGCAGCAGTCATGCGGAGGTGAAGAGATTTCCAGGCGAGCTTCAAAGAGAAGGATGTGACTAACTGTCTCGCAAGGAGCCAGGACGTGGACCCAGCCAGATGAGGCAGCTCACATGAAAAGGCTGCCAAAGGAAAGGGAGAGGACACAGATGAAACTGGGACTGGGGGATGAGGAGGAACAGGCAGTGGGGAAAGGTAGAGGGGAAAATCTCTATGGGCTGTTCCCAGTGACCGGGAGGTGTATCTGCTCTCCGGGGAGCCAACCTGTGGGTAAAGCAACCAACCTCAGGCACGTTGGCCGCCGTTCCTGGCTCCGCTGGGAGCCTCCGCTGCCTGTCCTTGGACAAGTCACTCTCCCGGTGACTCAGTATCCCAGCTGTAAAACGGGGATTGCTGCTTACCTCATGGGATGTTGTGAGGGTAGTCTCGTGGATGCCTTTGCAGTTTGATGTATTAAGGAGGGGGAGCAACAGAAAGTGAGCACAAAGATGAATGTGAAAAGGGATCTGTACTTCCCTCACGGCCTTCTCTGAATGTAATCATGTCCCTAATGATAATGTAATGGCAACTTATTCATCATTGACATATACTCCGTCAGTTGCACTGGTGGGAACAGTTTTTTGGTTTTATTTTTTTTCCCCTCAGGGCTTTAAAGATGTAATGTTGTATGTTTATATAATATGTTAATGTTTTAAGCAATTTCTAATAGAAAATTAGAAGAAATAACGAACAATAAATCAAAGTCAGTCTAAACCAAGATGTAATCAAGTAATATGAGAGTGGGACTAGAGCAGAGTTTGCAAAGGGGGCCTCAAACGGAGAAAATGCAAATCCTGAGGCCTGAAGAAGGAGGGGTTCTGGTTTGCCTTTGTCTTAAACTCTATACCCGATAGCGTACCTGAGGAGGGCTAAGGCCAGAAACCAAAAGGGGTCACTGCTCCTCGGCTCTCTCATTCTCAAATAAGCTTCTGCAAACAGAAGGGGAGCTCTGGTTAACTTTAACCCTTGAAATAAATGTCATGTTAATCTTACTCTGCTCACAAGGCAGTCTGATGGCTAATGCACAAACCCGGGAGCCAGAAAACAGCAGTTTTAAGGACAGTTCGGGAATTGGTTGACCTGGTGCTAACACTTACTTCTGTCTGTGCCTTTATGTGCTAAAGCAAAATGAAGCTAATTGTCTCCTCTCTTGGAAGAGGGGTGCGAGGCTTAAGGAAATGCTGTGAAGAACATGGAGATCCACAGGTGGAAAATGCTGGGGGCAGTCACAGCTTCAGCGTTTCACACAGGAGCAAAATGCATGGTCATATTTCACCTGTCAAAGCTGTTTTTTCTTTAAAAAAAACAGGACATCTCAAAGGCATTGGCTACAGAAGGTGAACATTAATCTTTTCCGAGTACTTTATTTGAAAGGCTTTAGCTGCATAAGCTTTCCTGGCACTTGCCAAGGCTATCTTTGGAGGAAAAAAATAGGATTCTTGTTTTTTTGAAGGAACAGGTGGCAGCATGTGGAAACCTTTTGTTGTTAAATTTTAGTCACGGTTCCTTTTTTTTCCTTTTCTTTCCTTTTCCCATCTGCAGTTGAGTATGACAAGGAGTTCACGCCTCACCAGCGGCACCACAAGGAGTTCAAGTTTAATTTGTCTCAGATTCCTGAGGGCGAGGCCGTCACAGCCGCTGAGTTTCGGATCTACAAGGACTGCGTTGTGGGGAGCTTTAAAAACCAAACTTTCCTTATCAGCATCTACCAAGTGCTGCAGGAACATCAGAACAGGTACACAAGAGGGGGTGCACTCTGTGCCACCAGCCACTGTCGTGGCGAAGGCTGAGCTTGCGCATTCATCTTGAGAGGACCGCGAAATAAATACGGGTTTTGTTCACATTAATGGGGTTATGTTATTGCGTGGTCCTTTCCTTGTGGGAAATGGGCATGGTAGAGCACAAAATGGACCTCAGCTGGTGAAGGTCCATGGTATTGTAGCCTAGGCTGTCACTTAGCTGCAACCTTTGTGTTGTCTTTAAATAGGGCAAGCATCAGATGAGAGGCTGTAAAACTTTTTAAACTAAAGTTACTGTGCTGGTATTGCTCTTGTGTACCGAAATACACATATCCCCTTTCAACTTAATACTACCAGCATAAAAAGCGTCACCTGTTTGAAAAATACTGGTAATTAGTGCAGACTTGACCTGCTCTCAGGTGGACTTACAGTAAAGTAAATAAAGCAGAAGAAAATTCAGCATGCTGAACACAGGTACAAAATCACACCTGGGCTTTCAGTGGCAATGACAGAGGCAAAAGAGAGAGAGGCCGAATAGAAACTGTGACACATAAATCCAAACAAGTGTAAATGGAGTGATTAATTTCAAAAGGGTAATGTTTCTGGTGGGGGAATTGTGCCAGGCAAAAAGATGGAAATCCATGGTCAATTAAATGTCAGAGTAATGCTGTGGTACAAAAGTGTTTCATTACTTCTGCTGAAATGTGTTAGGACTGTAACTGTTCCTCTGCTGCAGACAGAAAAAAAGAAATCAGAAACAGCAGTGTTTAAAAAAATCTCCCATTTCTTTCCTCGGTGAAGGCTTCCTGGGTGTTTTCCTTTCTGGTCCTTCTCTCTCCAGCCTTTCTGTTGATACCATCTGGGGGGATCTGCCTTTGATGATTTGCTGTTGTGAGGGCGACATCAATGGTTGTTCTGTGGGGAGTGTGGCCTCTGGGGAAATGGAGAGAAATACTTGGATATGTAAGTGATGGGGAAGAAGGTGTTAGTTCTAAAAGGTCAGTGTTCCCTTTGCACTTTGAGTTGTGGGTTGCTGGGGTGCCTCCTGGGGTAAAGTGCTTGCTGGTTAGGATGTTACGTCAATACCCACTTGAAGAGCTGATCGAAATCCAGACGGTCATGCAGATTTCATAGATGTTAGCTGTATTGTTCATTTGTAGCCACATCGAATAAAAAATAGTGAGTGTTGGTCTGGTTTAGATTTTACAAGTAGAGATCCCACCTCTGGAGCTGGAGGAAAACCTCTGCAAAGCGTCTGTGGAAGCAATCAATACGCTGCTCTGGGTCGGTCACCAAAGCAGGGCACATATGCGTATAACCTTCTTTCAGGGTAAACTGAGCAAACAAGTAATGCATTATGGGAAAGAGCATGGAAGTACAGGATATGGCCCCTAACATAATCTGTTCCTAATAAAATTGAAAACTCTTGTTCCGAAAGTGGCTGTTAGTTCTGTGTACAGCAATGATGCTGGCACCTCGTATCTTTGTTTCAAATACCATGCCAGAAACATGCCAACATCAGATTGTGCTGTGAAGCTGTGATGCGTGTCCTTTGGCACAGAGCACTTTGGCATCCGCACGTGCTGGGCATCTCTGGGTGCTACACACCTCCCTACGGATGGAGCAGAGGCAGAAGCTCAGATGGGGGTCACCAGGGTGGTCTCTCTCCAGAGCTGGCGAGTATTTCGGGTGTTTCAGTTCCCTTCTCTCATGTTCCTCCTGCCGCTGCCGGCGGCCCTGCTGAGAGGATCCCACCCCCACCGTTGGGACTGGGAATCGTAAAGCGGCTTCCTCTACATCCAGACTGCCAGCAGTTCGCCGTCCCTCCTGACATGGGCTAGGCGTGAACCGCTGACCCAGGGATGAGTGTCTGTAGTTCATTACTAACCTCTGACTCATCCAGTCCCTCAAGGCTCCCTTTTTGTTTCTTTTTCTTCTTTATTTATTTATTTTTACTGGTGGGAAGGAGGGAGACGTTTGGCTAAAGAAACTTGCACTTCGGATGAGTCTGTGGGACTTGTCACACCATCTGCACAGAGCTGGCCAAAATGTGGCTCAGAGATTCTTGCAGTTGTAAAAAGGACGTGCCCTTTTTCACCCTTCTTCCTTTCAGCTTAAAGGACTCTTTCATGTGCATGTAAAATACAAAAGCACATAGGAAAACGTGTGTGCTTGTGTATAAATACGTGCATATGTATGTATTCTCTGTATGTATCTGTGAATAGAAGTGTATATATATTTATTGTTATCTATATTAATCGTCCTCTCTATATTAAAAAGATGCAGATGTTAAAAGACAGTTAAAATAAGATATTAGCTGCTGCTTACCACTCTTCAGTGTTACCTTCAGTTGAGGTTCTGACTCCGTAGGCTGCTGCTGCTGCTACGGATTCAAACATGCAGCCACATTGGTGACCTGCGTGGACTCTGTCCTCTAAACGTTCTTGAAAACAAATACTAAGAAGTTGTATTTTAGCTCTTCACTAATATCTCTGCATGGAGGGGGAAAAATGCCTCAGATTCTTCTGGTATGCCTTAAGGAGCTGTATTCTGTGAGTGGTTTTGGTTTTTGATCATCAATTCACTTGCTTTTACTGGGAGGGGAAAAAATCCAAAGTCCTTTTTTCCCCCCTTTTGTCTCAGTGGATGAATATCGAATATAATGTTTTCTTTTCCTGTTGAGAACACTAGAAGGTTAAATTACAAAGAAAAAAAAGCGCATTTTTTTTTTTAAGGAACTTGCTAAATATTTGTAAGACTTCTGTTGCATTTTAGCAGACATCTTATGAGCCAGAAAATAACAGCTGCCTTTGACTTAAAAAAAAATACTAAAAAAATGTTGTGTCATACTTCCTTTGGACTAATGGTTTGAATAACAGCTTGATATTTCCTGACATTTGATGACATTTTATTGCATAAGGAAGAGTCTGTACAGATCTTGAAGTCTGGCTGGTGAACTAGCAGGTGAAACAGAAAGAGTTGAAGTAGCACCTTTTTTCATCTTGTTCTGCTGACAAATATTCCTTCTGGTCAGGAAGATTCATCTCTGAAGGCCACAGAAAGTGCCTGTTCGGTCAACATCGGCAGTCTCGAGAAACAGTTCAAAGTCACCATGTTAATCTTGGCTTTTATGAGGTTAACGGTTGTCTGAGGTGATTACTGGTAGCTAATAAAATACTTCTGGGCGCAAATAATTCTTAACAGGGCAGCTGGCATTGTATGTATTTAAACCAGCAGTCCACAAGAGAAAGGCAGCGTGCACCTCTGAGGGGAGAAAATACAGAGAAAAACCTGCCTGCTCCTCACAAAGAAATTAGTTTGGGAGGGCAGGAGATAAGAGAGAGATTCAGTAAATACAGATCTTCACCAAAGCTCACAGCCTGGAAGTATCCCTTGGCTCCGATTAAGTGTAATGAAGTGGCTTAATTCAGTATTACTTGACCAAATAAAAAAAAAAAAAAAACTCATCTGGACAGTAAGAGCATAAGCGTGTGACTCCAGCCCAGATGTGCGTGCTGCTGCACGGAATCACAAGGCACTGCTGGCTGTTCCCTGATGGCTAAAAACAAAACCAAGCCTGAGGCTAAAATTTCTACCAATTACTGAATTATCAAACTGATTTTTGCCACTGTAGACAAGGCTAAAAGCAAGGATTATATGGGCTCATTTGAGACTGTCTCCTAGACGGGGGTATATGTGGAGAGAGTGTGAACAATCAGAGATCAATGCTGATTGAAATAGCGTAACCTTTGGGAAGAAATTTGACCCTCTCCTTGTTCAAAACCATCAGAAACATGAAAACGATACTCGTGGAGGCTCTAGGCAGTGAAATGCACATTGAGGACAGTGTGGTCTAAGTACATTCTCTCTTAAAAAAGAAAACATTTTAATACTGACTCACTTTTGTCAGTAATATTTTCATCTCCCCATTCCTTCCACCCTTTCGTAAGGTGAAAAAATAGTGCCTAGAAACTAGGCTTTTGTTTTATAACCAAACCGCAGTTAACGGCCACGTTTTGTCGTAACACAAACTGCTGGAGTTGTCAGTGGGACGCTGCGAAGAGATTAATGAAATCCTCAGGGTAGGTCAAGCTTGTGGCCAGCCGTCAGCAGTATGCATTTTGGATTGTGTGGAGAAGAGGCTTCACCAAACAAGGCTGAGGTGACGTCTGGTTTGCTCTGAGGGGATGACTCTGGGTTTTGAAATGGGCTGTGGGCTGTAGGGGCTGACGTCGGGAGCGGGAGCCGGCGATACGTCCGCCGGATGCTGCTGCCCTTCAGCTTCTGACCCCCCAGAGTTTAAGAGACTGTGCTGTTTGAAGGCTAGGGTGGGAATTTTTTTCTTCTTTTTTTTTTTTTTTTTCCTTTGGTATGTGCAGAAAGCGGAGAGATTTGCCAAAGCACCAGTTTAGGAAGACGAGCGGCGTCAGCTTCCAGGTGTTTATCCCACCTTGGCCGCATCGGAGGGGGTGCTTAGTTTCAGCAGGCAGGAGCTGCACAGCCTCAACTCTCCTCTCTGCGGTGGTACTGATGCACTGCTAAGCCCTGCACGTGGGCTTGTTTCGAAGGTGTAGCGCTGATTTTTGTGGAAGCAAAAGCCCTCTGTGACTTCTGATACCTCTTGGGAGTGGATTGCCATGTAAGTGAGACCTTTGCAAGGGAGGGGAAGAAATTAGTTTGTTCCTGGAAACAGCTCATTAATTTCTTTTTCTTTCTCGAAACTTCCCTGCTCTCACCCGGAGAGGTGTCAGGTCAGGACTAGGGAAGGCAGTTTATGGTTGATCAAAGATATTAGTCCTTGGTTTGGATCATCCGTATGTTTTCAAGTGTAAATATCCTGCTAATGCAGACCTCAAAACACTCCCACACTGTCCAAACAACTGATCTATGAAAAACACAGTGGCCTGTGTTAGTGATCAAAGGAAGATATGGTACCTTACTGGTCAAAGTTTATTAAACAGTTTCGTTTTCACTCAGAATGAAATATGAGGGCTTG